ATGTTCCATTTTGTTTAGTTGGGGATTTCAATGCTCGCACAGGGTTACTTGCTGATTATTTAGATATTGATGATAATGCTGTATCTGACCTACTTGGTTTGAACTTTTGTGATGATTCCAGTCTGTCACCTAGTACATGTATGGATAAGTCATATATGCCCATCAGGCGTAAAAATATGGATGTTAAGGTAAATAACAATGGTAGTCATGTAATTGACATATGTAAAACTTTAGGTCTTGCTATCGTCAATGGACGGCTCGGTGATGATAATGGTATTGGAAATTTCACATGTTTCAATAAGAATGGGGGTTGTAGCACAATTGATTATGCTATTGTTTCTCATGAATTGTTTTATAACATACAAAACTTCCAGGTTGACTTATTTGATAAGTGTTTATCGGACGTTCATTGTCCTATTGTTATGACTTTGCAATCAAATCATACACACAACCAAGAAATTCATGATGTTAATACCATTTGTGACTCGTCTAAGCATGCAAATGAATACTCTGATAGGCTGCACAGATTAACCTTACAATTGTCAGGAATTATGGAAAATATTCATGGAAATGTAAGTCAGGAATTGGTAGATCATTGCTACTCTGAGATATGTAACTCTTTTTTACAGGCTGCACAAGATATTGGTGTGTGTAAGTGGAAACAGTCAAAGACAGCAAGGAGTCATAAAGAACAACATAATGTGAATTCGGCATCACAATTATGGTTTGATGCCGATTGTGAAGCTGCCCGTAAAGAGTATCTTAATTTAAGGAATAGGCTAAGCAGGAAAATCCAGCTAGGTAGAAGATTAGATGTTCAAGTAACAGATATTGATGTTTTACAAAGTGACTTTCTTTTGGCATGTAAGAAATATAAAAAATTGCTAAGGTACAAAAGGAGGAAGTATGGTAAAGACTTTAGTGCCTCTTTACGGTCCTTGAAAAAACAAGGAACCCTAGAGCCTTTTGGGATTTATTAAACAGTAATGGTCGTCGAACTAAAAGTGCAGTTAATGTTTCTTTGGGTGATCTTGTACAGCATTTTAAATCCCTAGGAAATGTATGTAAATCAGAGGATAATTTAGAGGAAAGGATGCCTTTGGATGCTGATAATATGACGATACAAAATGATGGTTTGAATGAACCTATCACATTAGAAGAGGTTGAATTAATGGTTAATAAATTGAAAAATGCCAAAGCTTGCGGTAAAGATTTGATCAGAAATCAATTTTTGAAAAGTTGCCCCTTTGAAATGCGTAGGGTTATTGTTGATTTGTTTAATATTGTTTTAGATAGTGGAATCGTTCCCTCTGAATGGTGTATAGGAGTGATTATCCCAATTTTTAAGAATAAAGGTGAAAATACAAATCCAGATAATTATCGTGGAATTACCTTGTTAAGTTGCCTTGGTAAACTGTTTACCTCAGTCTTGAATAAAAGAATTTCTAGCTTTCTTGATAGTAATCGTATGTTAGGTGAGGAACAAGCTGGGTTTCGTTCAACATAATTATTCAACCATTGATCATGTGTTTGTTTTGAAGACTATTATCGATTTTTACCTACAGAAAAGGAAACGCTTATATTGTGCTTTTATAGATTATAAAAAAAGTGTTTGATTTAATTGATAGAAAGTTTTTGTGGTTTAAATTGTTAGAAATAGGTGTAAATGGCAAAGTCCTAAATGTTGTTAAAAGCTTGTACAAATGTGCGAATTAGTCCTGTATTTCTGTCAACGGCGCAATGTCTGAATTTTCTCGTGTAACGTAGGAGTTAGGCAAGGTGAAAACCTTTCGCCATTGCTGTTTGCTGTTTATTTAAATGACTTTCAAGAGCATATTGCCAAAATTTATCCTGGCTTGAAAATGTTAAATGAAGAAATACAAAATACCTTACAGGGTGACGAATTAGAGCTTTTTTCAAAGTTGTCTTGTTTATTGTACGCTGATGACACGATCATTTTGGCAGAAAGCCCTGACGAATTACAAGTAGCGCTGAATGCAGTTCAAGGATATTGTAATACATGGCACCTAACAGTCAATGCGAGTAAAACTAAAATAATGATTTTTTTCAGAGGGAAAGTTAGGAAGATACCAAATTTTACGTATGGTCATGCAAAAATAGATGTGGTATATGATTTTGCTTATCTCGGAGTACTGTTTAATTATAATGGTACTTTCAAAAAGGCAATGGCCAAGCAGATAGTGCAGGCTAGAAAAGCGTTATACAGTATGTTGACTAAAGCGAAGAAATTGCAGTGTCAGTTGATATTCAACGTCATTTGTTTGACCTTTTGATTTTGCCTATCTTATTGTATGGTAGTGAAGTCTGGGGACATGAAGATATAAAGCAGATTGAAGTTTTCCATAGGAAATTCCTCAAAACGTTATTATCTGTAGGTTCATATACTCCAGACTGTATGGTTTATGGAGAAACTGGACGAGGTTTGATTTTGAATCATGTGAAGGGTAGAATGGTTAATTTTTGGTCAAGAATTTTGAGAGGTAAAGATAGCAAATATTCATATGTCCTTTTAAATTCATTTCTGCCATTCATAAAGATGAACATTTGGAATTTACTTCCTCATGGTTAAAATTTATTGAAGACATTTAATCAAGCTGCATGGTCTAGCTATCCAATATTTGGCTAGGCCAAAATAGTGGATTTGGCTTAAATATTAATTCTTTGCTAAAACTGAGACTAAATGATATTTTTGGTCAGGAATGGAGAGATGCAGTATGGTCAAATCGCATTTGCACAAATTATAGGATATTTAAAGGCAACCATATATTTGAAAGCTATTTACTCACCCTAAATAAAACTGATGCTTTTACTCTCTGTAAGTTTCGGTGTAGATCACATAAATTACCTGTAAACAAAGGTCGGTTTGATGCGAACACACCACATTGTGATATATGGATAATTTAGTTGTTATAATTTTATATTCTCTTTACTGGTTTCTCCTTTACTCTCTCTCTCTCTCTCTCTCTCCCTCACTCCTTATCTCTCTCTCTCTCTCTCTCTCACTCTCATCTCTTTACTATTCACCCCGTGAGCTAAAGACTAAATCACAACACACAAAAAAACAGCCAAGACAATATTGTAATTCCGAAGGGGATGGCACTATTTAATTATTAGCTTTCTCCATGTTGTACTACATCGTTATTCCCGGGACAGGTATTCAATTAAAAGATTATAATGTTAAATGAATCCTAATCTATAGCTTTCGTTGACTTTGAAAGTCACCCTGAATGTACATACTTCACAGAAATATAATTTACTTTCTTTATTGATTGAGACATATCATTATCGCCCCTATATTAACTGCTGAATGCTATTATTGCAGTATGGATTACTGTCATGCGAAAGTTTGCCTACATGAAGTAGTTGGGTTTTGGGCTCACATACTGTCAACTATTATCCAAATTATGCTGAATAGTGAATAATAACTTTCAATGTGAAATGAATTAATCGACTGGGCAGTCACTATAGTTACACGTTCACATACTAGATAAATCCTTTTAGGCAAACATTTCATCAATGATCAATGATTATGGTCAAATCTTTCATCAAATTTGCTTTGAATCGTGAGCAATGACTTTCCATTTAGAATAAATCTATTAATTATTTTTTTAGAGTGACTACAATTATCATTTATGAATTAAACAGTAACATACTCGGGGAATTTTTTAAAGAGGACATGCCATTTTAATATACTGCTATAAGCATAATATAGTTTCTTCTAAAGACCAACACACTATGAAATTTAAGGAGCACAAACTACGATAAAGTGTGACAAATTCCTACAGATGAATACACAATATTATTATCCTGATGACTTTATTAGAATAAATATGCTTTAATATTTGTTTTTAAAGACCCAGTATATACCGACCAGAATAGAAACCCTACAGGGCAAGATTAAAATCTAAACATTTGTAAAGTCGTTGAAATAAATTTGAAGAAAAAACGATTATGGTGATGATAAGATGAGGCATTTTCTTTATTATCAGGATTAATATTTATTTTTTTAGAGTGACTACAATTATCATTTATGAATTAAACAGTAACATACTCGGGGAATTTTTTAAAGAGGACATGCCATTTTAATATACAGCTATAAGCATAATATAGTTTCTTCTAAAGACCAACACACTATGAAATTTAAGAAGCACAAACTACGATAAAGTGTGACAAATTCCTACAGATGAATACACAATGTTATTATCCTGATGACTTTATTAGAATAAATATGCTTTAATATTTGTTTTTAAAGACCCAGTATATACCGACCAGAATAGGAACCCTACAGGGCAAGATTAAAATCTAAACATTTGTAAAGTTGTTGAAATAAATTTGAAGAAAAAACGATTATGGTGATGATAAGATGACGCGTTTTCTTTATCATCAGGATTAATATCTACAGGAGCAATAAAGTAGCAAGTATTGATCTATGGAGTATGAAACATTCACACACCAGAGATGAACATAATGAATTTCTATTTGTTTTCATCACTGTACCTATATTTTTGCGTTGTACTTAAACTGATCAACTCTTTATGCTTGTAATACATGGCTATTAAACACAGGCATGAAGCTTTTCGTGGAGCTCTAATTCGGGTTGCAATAATCATGTTGCTGCCTTTCATGATTATGTCAACTGAAGATAATATATACTACTACGTGTACTGAAGTCGGGACTAAATAAATAAAAAGGAAAGAAATAAAGGATTTTGTTGTTTCTTTGCTTAACTACATTCAGAAAGACATTAAAACTACACCTTGGTTTGGATCAGTCAGCCTCAATATATTGACGGCTTATTCCTGTTTCGGACTTTCCTACTTTGCCAGTTGTTTCTCTTATAACCTTATCTATTAATCCGGTTCATATGCCACCAAATGAAATGAATGAATGAATGAATGAATAAATACACAAATAGTTAAATATATAAGCTTAAGGCCAAGTAAGAATTATACCTAGTTTCTTGTCCAGAATTTTTTTTAATAGCGAAAATGAGGAACAGGGAACTCAATGTTATTTGACTGATATTTGTCAGCACATAGAAATGCTAGTAGGTCTATTTCAACACAAATCTTGTTAATTCTAATTTTGTTTATACATGCATTTTAGACGCTACAAACTGGGTGCATTTTCATTATATTACTGATGTTTTGTTAACCCCTTTGTCTAAATATCCTCAGATAGTTATTCATTTAATTTTGGAACAAAACAAATTACATGAAAAATTAAAGCGGTACCCCCCCCCCCCCCAACCAAAAAAGGGAGGGAGAGGACAAGAAACAAAATTACTTTTATTTGGCCCAATTAAGTGGTGATATAACGATGACATCATTGGAATTAAACTATTCCTAGGCAAGAGTCCTTCCGTCATCTAGGGAGGCGATCGACTCTTTAAGAACCGGCAGTGGGGCTACATCTACCGGTACTGGCTCTACATCTACTGGTACTGGCTCTACTGTTTGAAAAGAAGGAAAAAAGGGGAGAAAAGAAAAATTAGTGTATTTGTTTATTTGTAGTGAAACAAAGGGTAGTATTTTCAATGAGTAAACTGCTTTCCCTAATTGCCCTGTTTGCCTACATTATTAAGTATATATATAAAAAATATGATTAAATGTTGAAATTATAGTAAAATCATTTACGAAGTATAAACCTCGAGGTGACATTTCTAGCATATGTGAAGGAGTGGTAAGGGAGCAACTTGCACCCCAAGATTTCAGATGCAAAAAACCAAAAATAAACACTTCTCTTTTTATATAATAGTAGTGTTATTACTAGGGTGGGAAATTATTAAGGTAAATAATTATAAGATTGCCCCTTTCTTTCATAAATAAATCATATTTGGGGGCGCGCTAACCTCACTGTGAACCAACCAGATCCTTGAAAAGTAGACTTCCTAGTCGATTGGATCACATTAAGCTGAGATAATAAGTCTGAATATGCTACTGTGTGATATCATCTGATAAAATCAATGTTGAATCCAGGATCGGCACAGACAAATAGGCCAGACTATTATTTTTCAAAAGATAACCATTCATTCCAGAAGAAGAAAATGATGAAGAGAAAAAAAAATCTCTCTAAACTCTCCGGTTAGCTCAACGAGAAACTCTCCGGTTAGCTCAACGAGAGGTGGGGGCAGACAGGAGTAGTTTTACTCCCATTTTTTAAATTTCATCTATTAATCTATTTATTTGATTGTTGATTATTCATTTACTTATACTTATTCACTCTTTTATTTATTAATTAATTAATTAATTTATTTATTTATATACTTGTTTATTCATTCATTCATTTATTTGTTATCATATTTCTTCAAAGGGGCCGCTAGCCCCCCCCCCCTGAACAATTCTGGATTAGTCTATGAATCAATCTATTTAGAAGATCAACAGCAATAACAAAAACAACATTGAACCCATGTGCAACCATAGTGACTAGACATACAACCCAGTGGCTTACTTCTAGAGTTCCTTTTAACTTTCCCACACAATGACAGGGGCAGATCCAGGAATTTTGTAAAAGGGGAGGGCACAATAAACACACTTATCTGACAAAAAGAGCAAAAACAACAAACAAAACAAAACAAACTAAAAAGGAAGAGATGTTCTTTCATTCGTTTTTGTCGGGGTGTATCTATACAACCTGGGTTTGAAAATGAAACACTGAGTGGTTGTCCCCTTCCCACTCCCCCAAATCCAACAGTACATGACATAGACCGACTACAGTTATACGAAGTACATAAACAAAAGTGCAAAACGGCAAAGCTTATTACACCTAGACATGAAATTCGTCACAGAGACGAATTGGGTGATCTGCCGCTTTGATCGAGACATTAACACATGTAGAAACTCAATGGGAGATTTGGTCTTACCCTCCACTCATATATAACATGTCCATGTAAAAGCTAATGTATTAATCAAGGATGTAGATACATTGTGCTGGCTATTGTTCGGTACAACCCTGTTACAATTGAATTAAAGGGAACCAAAACCTTCATACTAAGTTACTTTTATTGTAAAGTTTAAAAGATTTGAACAAAATCGGGCAAGGAATAAGGAAGTTAGAGCTTTTTAAAATGACTAGTCACTAGAGGGCGGTATTCAATTTGATGACATCATTTGTGGACAACTCTCCATATGCCTTTTGTACATAAAATTTCACAATTTTTTTGTTTTCTTTGTATTTATTTGTGTTCTTGATCCGACTTCATAACATGTGAAGTAGAATATAATTTTTCATTCTATATCTAATTGCTTTCAGGGGAGTAGATTATTTCAATCACAAGAAAGAAGGAAAAACATGAAATTTTATGTACAAAAGGCATGGAGTGTTGTCCACAGATGATGTCATCGAATTGAATACCGCCCTCTAGTGACTAGTCATTTAAAAAAGCTCTAACTTCCTTATTCCATGCCCCATTTTGTTCAAATTTTCACTGATATTTTTCAAATATCTTAAACTTTACAATAAAAGTAACTTAGTATGAAGGTTTTGGTTCCCTTTAATGACAGCTAGGGGACGAACAAATATCAAAATAACACTGTCCATTAAGTTCAAGCTCTGATTGTTTATTGTTTATTATACGAATTGTACATAGCAGCTAGAAAAATGATGTGGATGGTCGAGAATCGCAAGGAGAAAATGTGCAGATGAGAATTGTAAGACAGATATAGTATTGATGGAGACTAGTAAGAACCAAGAGGCATTCACCGAATCTGACCACGAGACCAAAAGGCTTGACTGCATGTTTAGATTTACGTCCAGCCAAGTACATGTATCATGTTTTGACGGCGGCTTGGGTTGGTCGGTGATAAGGATAACGAGTAAAAGGAGCAGTAATCCTAACCAGAAGACTTGTGGTCACATGTTTAATGTCGATGAAAGCAAAGCGAAGAGGGAGAAAGTTGGGTGGTCGTGAGATCGCAAGATCGAGAGATAGAGAGGAAGAGAATGTTGAAACACTACACTTATTAGAAGGTTTGCTACACTATGGGGCAGCTAGATCACCTAATAACAAAGAGTCAATGAGAAATTCAGACTTTGAACAAAATCCCAGCCTCCATTCATATAGCATGTACAAGTAAAAACCATAATGGCCGAAACTGGATTCGGATCCACTGGATCTCGGGTCTGATGAATTAGATTCGTCAATGGAACCGGAAGAGCGGTCAGATAAATCAGATTCATCGGACTCATCAGAGGATCCGGAAGACCGGTCCAATAAATTGGGTTCATCGGAGGCTGCGGAACTGGCAGACACTGATTCTAGTGACCCACCTTCACTGCCATCCTTCCAGGGGTTGAGGTTCAATTTGGGAATCTCAGATTCGTCAGAGCATGGAACACGGTGGTTGGAAAAGTTGGGCAACGTCAGGGTTTTAAACTCAGGGAAGGGATTCTCCATGCTGAACTGTGCCCATGGTTTATCATTCCTGAAAGTTTGATAAAGAAAATCAACATGCTTGAATATTCATTAGGTAATGATTATCAAATGGAGTCCTTCTTATTTTTTATTCATCTTCTTCCTCTCCTCCTCCTCTCTAATTCCCCTCCCCTCCTTCTTTTCCCGAAGACGTGGAACCACCTATCAGCTGCTGCGGTAATATCTCCAACAGTGACCATCTTCCAGGAGGCTGCTCTACCCATCATCAGAGCGTTGCCTCCTCCTGTTGGGTCCAAGCTACTGTAGACTCCACGTCTTGGTTTTTACTTGCACGTCCACCGTTTTATTGTAAATAATAGACATCATTCACTGTTTTGAATTACTTCATGCACTGTCACTATGCCAGCACGTTGCACGGACATCCCAGTTTAGCTGTATGATAGCTGCCATCGGGATTATCTCTACAAGTAACAAGTAACAAGTAACTCCTGGCTAATAAAAGGAAACATTGGAACACATATGTGCAGGGTCATTTGATAGCTAAGCCTAGCAAAGTTCATGAATACATAATGTGGGAAAATACAATTCCCTGATTCACTGTAGGAGGCATATGTTACACATTGGAAGGGCGCCATGCACGTCACGTATTCAGTGGATACACTAGCTGTTTGCACAGAAGCGACTGACTGCTTCCTTTGGGGACCAATGATAATCTATGCTTTTCCGTGATGTGAGTGACATTTCTCCTTATCCCCCGGCTGTACTCTAACGGGACAAAAGGGAACTCTTTTTCCAGGTTTTTCTCGTATTTCCAGGGTAGCTGGAACCCTACATGATGACGTAGCGAGGACAAGAAAGAAGCTTTCAAAAGTAATAATCCCCCCACGTGCAAAGCTAATTCACTTATCATATTTAACCTTGTTACCCTTACTGATTATAAAACTATATTTTCATTGAAAAGTGGGGATATCATTTTCTGTTAAGGCCGCCCCCCCCCTCAAAAGTGGGTGAGGGCGTTGTCCCCCCCCCCCAGGATTTATGCCAGTGGATATAGAGACTTACTTGAACTTCTTTGTGTCATATGTCGGGGTGTGCAGGGGATATGGTTGGATGGAGAGATTCTCGCTATCGTCCAGGGTGTCGCAAAGAACACGAGACAGTGACGTGCCTTTGATAGCATCCAACTGACCTGTCATTGGAAGGAAAAACAGAGTTATATTAGACAATGGATGTAATTTGTGTATAAATGAATGATTAGATCAACATGGATTAACATGGATTAACGGGGTGTTGTGGCGTGCACCTGTAATCCAGCTAACACAAACTGATTCAGCCAAGGACGCAGGCTCGAAACTGAGTCACGTCTTTCGGATGGTGACGTTAAACGTGGGTCCCCAGACATAAACAATCATATCTGATTGATACATGTCTGTCAAAACCCAATTACGCACACACACATGTGCACGCTGGATCGTAACTACGTCTGGCTGGATCATCATTGAATCCACTGACCGGCCAGGGTAACGACTGTATGGCACTTAGGTTGGTGAACTGGTAAAGCACCTCAGTGAAAGTTATTATAGTGAGCGTGAAAAGGAGATGTGATTTTGTCTAGCGGCACGTTCACTTAGTCATCTCCGTCTGTGTTCATGTACAAACTGGCTCAGGCAACCCCGGTTCGAAACTGGGTTAAGTCTTTCAGATGGTGACGTTAAAGATCGGTCCTCATATGTAAATAAAAATTTCTAATTGATACACGTCTGTAAAAACCTAAGTACACATAGTGCCCATTGCACACCGCATCAGCGACTACTGCGACTTCTTGAAGCGCCATGCAAGAGTAATATAGTACAAAAAGTGAATGGGAAATGGACAGTGTAAGCACCTTCTCGAATTAATTCACACACTTGATTAGTGCAGGTAATAGCACTATCGAAATGATGCAACAGGCGTAATACCCTATGCACACGATGTGTAACGCTAATCAAGATAATGATGCAAATAGTTATAGGTCCGTTCTTACTTCAATGGAACGTTTGCATTGCTAAGTTTGCTGTATCACTATATTGTATCCCTGCCTTACATATTATTATAATAATCCATGTACTTTTCAACAGGGTTATCTATTACTTTAAAAGTAACTGTAGCATTCAATCACTTGGATATATTGACACTTTTACGCAGCAATTCCACCACCCAGCAATGTAAACTCAATTAATATGATTGGCAACTGAATCGCTACATTGAAAACACACAATGTAAACAGTTGAAAATTATCAAAATATGTTTCTATCTTACGATAAGCAGCATTGTAAGCACTCAAAATGAAAACGATGGGAAATACCAAGATTCATTTGAGTAGGGTAGGGAAAATGAACCCCAAGAGTTCCCCTTCGTTGTTTTAAAGTTCTAATTGAAATTAAGTAAGTTTAATGCTGCATTAGTGAATGTATTTACCTATAATGCACAGTTTTGGGCAAAGTTAATGATATCCAATGCATTGCAAAATACTTTTCTCATATTTAGCTGTATGTTAGTACTATTTTGGTAATCCCGGTAACAAAAATAATATAATAACAAGTATAGACAAAAAGTATTTTTCCTATCCCTTTTGGTTTAGCAAAATATATCAGTATATCAGTCTGAATGTTCCATCTAAAAAGAAATAAACTAGATGGAACTTCGACTGCGCGCAGTCGAAATGATGCCTCCGTCATAGAGCAATTTACAAACCAAAACAGAAGAAATTTTTCAAATTCAAGTTCAATTGTAATCCATTAACAGGTTCTCAGAATATTGTGTTTACAAGCAATTTCTCATACCGGTATACATGTATGACCCTTTGATCTTTGACCTCACGACCCTAACAGCAACTGATCAGTTCATTGGCTCTGCAAGATGTCCCGAGTTAAATAGTAATCCATCTGTCAGTTCTAATGAGAATGTGTTCACAAGCTATTTTTGCATACATAATGAGCCCATGACCTTTGACCTTTGACCTTTGACCTCATGACCAAAGAATCTACTCAGTTCATTGGCTCTGCAAGATGCATACATGATCTAAGTTTGGCAGGAATCCATCAATCTGTTCTAATGATAATGCGATCACAAGCTATTTTTGCATACATAATGAGCCCTGTGACCTTTGACCTTTGACCTCGTGACCCCAAAATCTAATCAGTTCATTGGCTCTGCAAGATACATACATGACCAAAGTTTGGCAGGAATCCATCAATTGGTTCTTCAGATAACGCGATCACGAGAACGGGACGTACGGACGTACGGACGGTACAGACGGTACAGATCAGACGGACGGACGGACAACCAGAAAACATAATGCCTCCAGCTACTTCGTAATGGAGGCATAAAAAGGAACCCTTCATTACAGTCGGCAATGAAGTTGTCACTGTAAGTCGACTATATTTGTTTCCCAAACCAGATTTCAAATTCAATTAGTTTATATGCAGGGTTGTTAATAATATTTTGTCATTGATATTGGGCAAAATTGCAGCGAGCGCATTTCCAGACATAGGAATTTTAATATTTGTAAAGAAAAGTCTATTTTTGTTTGAGATTATGAAAATCTGATGTTGACGCCATTATTGTTCGATTATGTATGTCACATAATGAGAGATCAAGGGCTTTTATTTTAATAAAAAGGCTATGGAGGACATTTCCAAAGGATAAGATCAAATCAAGAGAGAGAAGGAAGGGAAAGAGAGAGAGGGGGAGAGAGACAGAGTGAGAGAGGGAGATTGAAGTATATATAGAGAGAGGGGGAAAGGGATATAAGAAAGCATGGAGAGCGAGAGAGAGTGAAGAAATAAAAACCCTCCTCTTCCACTTCACAACGCCAACATGACAACATCAGCGGCAGTCAATATACCTCTTAAAGGTACTATGTCCCTTTTGCAGCCAACCTCAAATTCTGTAGAACTTTGCAGGAATTATGAATATGTCATGTATGTCCTATTTGTGTTTAAACGTTAGCAGTGTCCTCTTATTCAAATTATGCAAGGAAACCCGTTTACTTGCTAGACTTCACTGTCAGACACTATTGAGTGACTGACTGGCTTTTTTCTTCTTTGGTAATATTAATAACATACATGAAAAGAGTTGTAAAGGTACATGAGCATTTGTCTACATCAATAACCCACTTCTCGTGATGGCCAAGATTAAACTGATTGAATCTTTGCACAGCATAAAACTTATGACCATTTGGTACAATTGTCTGAAAATCAAGACTATTACTTTTGGGCTCTATAGTCCTAAAGTCGATTTGACAACTAATAGTCGTTATTTTCCCACTTGAAGACATTTTCAAGCCCCACCTTTTTTAGGGAAGTTCTAAATTAGTATTATCTTTCAAATGCAGTTGGAAGTTAACTTATTCATTTTTTTGGCCTGCAAATGGGACATAGTACCTTTAACGTAAAAATGTATTTGCCACGGTTTCATATAGTTAAATCACTGTGTTTGCATTCGTATCAAATTTTTACGGTAGACTGTGTACTTACTGTCTTTGTATATTATTTATTTCGACTAATTATTATTCCCAAAGGCACCAATGGTTATATATGACTATGACTTATAGTTATTTATTGCCACACATGATATGCTGAAATACTGATGTGAAACGGAATGGAAACTGATCACGAACCACTGCTCAACTGTGACATTTTATCTCTAATAAGTTTATTTCAGCTGAATTGTGTATCGTGATACAAAAATTATCATATATTTATTTCCCTTTAATATCAATCTACATGTATATTGCTCTTGTTTTGGTTTATTACGTTTTTTGATATTTTAATGTTTTTTTAAATAATTTTGTTAAAACATTTAATTTTAATTGTATTATGTAATTCAAGGCTCTCTTGCAAAGCAGGTTTTATGTAATGAAGAGACTGACCTGTATGAAGAACTCATAATTATTGAGAAAATAATTACATGAAAGAATAAAATAAATGAATAAAATAAATTGCACAATGTTTCTCTTACTGTCTGTGAAACCCTCCGGTGCATTCCGTTCGTACCAGAAACGATCCCCAAGACGAAGTCGCTTGAACTGGTCACCGAGCAGACAACCGAGGGTGTGGCCAATTCGACCTCCAGGCATGTGCTTCTCGTTCGTGAAGCCGATGAACGCGTCAATTTCACGCACTCCATCTTCCCTGAAAATAATAAGGGAAAAATATAAGAGATTTATATTTCTGTTGGGCTAACCCCAAGCATTGCATGGATGCTTTTCTTCTTTTTTAAATTGGAAGTATTATCATCATCATTGTTGTATGCTCTTATTGTGTACATATGTCATCGTTTGATGTTTTATTTCAGAGAAAATTAAAGCCCCTCTGCACTGTTTGCCAGGAGGGATTAGACCTCCCTCCAGAACCGCGGCAGATATAAAGTTTTCCTTTCTTGACTTTTTTAAAATCAATTTTTTGTTGAAAATCAGACATATAGTTACAAAGTCACATGACCTATTGTCTAATTTGCATGTCAGCCCGAAAATTGCTCATTTTTGTGATTTGTGTACAAAACATATGGAAATATCATTTTTCCTAAAAAGAGATAAAACATTGGTTATTTGGTCTTGTATAAAGTTTAGGTGTTTGCTTTGGGGTAAACATACTTGTAGTAAAAAATGATATTTAAAAAAAAAATAAATGAAATACATAAGTTAAAAAAACAATGAAATACAAAAGAAATTATCAAAACAAGAGATTACATATGGAATAACCTGGCTCTTCCAATTTTTGTTGTTTTATTATTATTCCAAATGGTCTAACGAATATATGTAGTGAAAAAAAATGCTTAAATATGAATAATATATGGGTAGAAATGTGAATTTTATGACCTTATTTGCATAAATTACCATAAATATGCAAATGTATGAATTATGTATGTATGCAAAAAATTGAAATTACCATAGTATTCTGTACACTTCACTTGTCCCCCAGTAAAAACCTGGTCTGAAATAGGGTTAAGGCAGTTTTGATAGCCTAGTCCATCACACGCGAGAGGTCCCAGCTTCGATCTTTGCACAGCGCATACATATTTGGTGTTTTGCCCACATCTATCCCTCTTGACCCAGGAGTATCAAAATGGGTATCCGATCCAATCTAATCCAATCCAATCTAATCCGATCCAATCTAATCCCATCCAAAAGATATTTGATATAGCGCCTTTTCCTTGCAGTTACAAAGTGCTGCATGCACACGCTCCACAATGTTTGGGCCACTTAAAAAGAAAAGTTAGACACTTCTCAGAGATCAGCAAAGTATATGTAGGCTGGTAATAAAGTAATTTCTAGCAGAATAGATGTGACTTGAGTAGTTTCTTGAACTGGTCAACAGATGAGGCCATCTGCACAGCAGTAGGTAGCTGGTTTCACAATTTTGCAGCAACCAATGGAAAAGACCATTCACCTGCATTTTTCTTAGAGAGACACTGAGTGAGCCAGATGGATGATGATGAGCGGGTATTTCGGACTCGTGGATGGTAACCCGACATTTGCTCCGCGACATTTGCTCCGCCGACATTTTGCTTCGCCGACATTTGCTCCGCCGACAATTGCTCCGCCAACAATTGCTCCGCCGATATTTGCTCCGCCGACAATATTTCTTTCATGGGTTATTTTTGTTTTTTTGTTTTTGTCATTTGTTTTGTTGTTGTTATTCAGGGCCGTAGCACAAATTTTGAGAATGGGGATGTGTTTTATTTCCCCGATCAAAAGACACTGATGGAAAAAAACGTGATAAACCTTTGTAAAAGACGTAATCCTTTTTTTTGGGGGGGGGATCAGGTGAAGAAGCTTTTAAATAATATATTAACTTTTCTCAACCTTGAGTCGACCTTCTTTCAACAAATAGTGATTTTTTTCTTTCTTAGGCACAATATAATTTAAGGTAATATTATTATTCCCTTTTTCTGCCTGCCTACCACCCCTTTTATTAATCGATGATTATTTCACGAGCACGTACATGTAGGCCTATATTTCATACATTTTATTTCTCATTTTCCCTGACGTGTCGTGACACCCCGCAGGATTTACCCTCATTAAATATACAGACACCGTCCCGACACAAAGTTTTAGGCCAATGCAAGAATATGAAATTTAAATCTTCCTATATTCTGTTTTGTGTCCCTTTTCCCTTGTCTTTAGCCTTTTCTTTTCTTGACCTTTTATTTTCCATGTTTTCTTTTCCTTTTCTTTTCATTTCTTCCTATCTTTTTTTTCGCTGCAAAAGGGAGCATTTGTCTTTTACGGGGCACTCCCACTACGTCGGCGGAGCAATTGTCTGTGGAGCAACTGTCGGCAGAGCAACTGTTGCAGAGCAATTGTCGCTTTTTGCGGAGCATTTGTCTCGAGGACGACGAACCAAGCAGTCAGCTATGTACGGGGGACATCGGTTGTTGAGAGACCATTAGTAGGATCTTAAAAGCTATTCTCTGTCGTACAGGGAGCCAATGGAGTTCAAGTCGAAGAGGTTGTATGTGAGTCCGAAGAGGAGCAGAAAAGACAAGCCTTGCCGCTGAGTTTTGTAGTCTCTAAAGGCGATCAAGGTCCCTCTGGCTGAGAACACTGAAGAGACTGTTGCAGTAGACTAGTCTGAAAAGGACAAGAGCCCTTGCCGCAGCGCGGAATGTTGACTTATTGATAAACCGCCTCATCCTCCAAATTAAAGGTACGTAGGTGGTACTTGATGCTTCTGCTGAGAAGGTTGACATGAAGACATAAGTTCACAGATGGTTCAAGTGTTACTCCCACATTGCTGTTGGACTTACATGGTTGGAAGGTATCTGGCAATGCTGGGGTAATAATAATTGCAGGGGCCACAGGAAGATCATAATAATGCTGATGAGGCTATCCTGGGGCTGGGTAGATAGGACCCAATTATTATTTATCAATATTGATTATTATGTTATTAGTACATCATCTTATAAAAAGTTGATATTAATCGCAAGTTATTTGCTATCGATATCAATCACAACTATGTAAATAAGAAATAGGGGAATGCAAACTTGTGATTGATTAGAGGACTTGAGATTGATTCAAATCAATCAAAACTCTTTTTATAAGACGAGGCCCTGGAAATAATTTCTTGGGGATAAAGAATAGGATATCAAAATTACCCTAGAGTTGCTCTCACTGAAGTCGTTGACTTTATATTACCATTTTAGGGTATGCAACATGATGCCCCAGGGACATTATGCTCCTGGCTTGGAGTCAAAGACAATGGCTTACCAGTGGGGGAAGGGGGGGGGGGTGGCACTGGCATGGCTACAGCCCAGGATATGCTAGATTGCTAGTGACAGATAGCCCTAATTGTATGACACTAGCTCCGAGGGCATTTTCCTAGACCAACAGAATTCCCAACTTTAAAAGGCAATTCAGCCTTGATAGCAAACTAATCTTGTTGAAGGCAGAAAAGTAGACTGGTGAAAGTTTGAATGAAATCGGACAAAAAAAGAATATTATGAAAGCTCATCAAATTGGCTGAATCCGTAATGTCTCTGTGATGTAGTGGCAGACAAATTTCCCATTTGTTCAGCCACACAAAATGACAACATTTTCAATTTATCAAAAATGTATGACTGAGAAGGGTCTTTTCTCTTTAGAAGGCCTACGGTAATGTGCTTTCCATGATATATTTTGAGTATCACCCCCAAGGGAGTAGGCATTTAGGAGAAACACAGAAATTAATAATATTTTTGTACACGATACAAGATAGCTATCCACAACTACATATACCGACCAACTTGCCAATTTGAGAATTGCTTGACTTAGGGGTCTTGTAATTATTATTGGTCCGATATATTTCATACTGTCTATCTGATTTTCTGCTTTCATACAAATGAACTTATTACAAGGGTTGGATTGCCCCTTAGCCACATATCATACATTACACCTAACCCAAACCCCAAACCTAGAACGTAAAACCTTAATTATTGGAAACCTAACCCTAAATCTTTGACGCAATCTGAAGCAATTGTTCCCGGACGACGTAAAGGCCACTGTAACTTTGTTTTAATTTCATTTTTAGGGGGTCGGGGTCCAATAAAGCCTGGTCCAATCCTACGCTGGATACGCCACAGTGAAAGATAGCCATGAAGGGTTGTATTTGCATTATCAAAGGAAGCACCCCCACCCCCATGGCAAATAGACCGTCAAACTTTGTTTGGGGGGGTGCCGGCCTATTAAACAGGGGTATATGCCAGCTCCAATCCTCTCCTGGATAACGCCACAGACAGACAAATATTGCCCCAAAGAAGACAGGGTTTTATCTGCATTTTGAACCCGTTCCCTTCCAGATTCTGATATTCCCATAAACTTTGTACACAGAGCACCCGGTGCCCGTAGGCAAAGGGTTAAAGGAAACACCCGCCTGACTATCAGTCCAAAGTTTGTGGACTTGAATCACAGCCCGGCACTACTGTCCTTTGGCAGGATATTTATCCACATTTGCCACTCTCCATCCAGGTGTAAATAGGAACCTGACAATTGCTTGGGTGACTTGTTGCATGGCCTTCAGGAAGAACAGCATTGATGCTGATGAGAGTTCCATTCATTGGTACACAATGTTTTTCATTGTTTGTCTGTTTCTTTGATTGTTGTTGTTTGATTGTTTTGATGTTTGATTGTGTGGGAGAGGGGCTTAACTTACCCGTAGACCTCCTTGAGTTCGTCAAGGAGACCATCATCCTGGAACACTCCTTTGAGGTCGTCCCAAGATTTTATCTTTGGTTGCTGAGGTGTGCAAATCTCACGGTACTCCACGTAAGCAGGGATGCCATGCTCGCGTCCACGCTGAATATTCATGGCAAGGAGATCCAAACCGAATCTAAAAATAAACGAGGTATACAGGGTTTTTATCTTCTTTTGAGGCAGTAAAACATAACAAATGAATATTTTTGCTGGTACCCCTTAGTTGGTGGCACTTCATGTTCAAGCCTTGCGTCACACATCGAGCTTACAAGTATCATCCAAGTAATACTATATAAATATTGACTGATTTGAGGGGTACGGTTAAAGCTATTGCCCAACGTGATCTTGAAGCTGTACTTTGACCCACAACGAAGTCGAGGGGCATGGTGCCGTCTCGAGATCACCAAGGAGCTAGATTTTTTGAAACTGTGACTAGGGAAATAAGCAGTCAATATTTGTTTTATTTACCGCATTTCAGGTATCAATTCAAAAGAGATACTTTAACAAATCATGTCTGTTATTAGTAGAATTATGCCGTGTCTCGCCAGTCAATATTTTTTCGCTATACTGCCCAGCAGTCAGAAGCAAATTTCATCCCTTGTGCGGTATGTGATACAAGATATACCATTTCAGGTTTCAATTCAAAACAGATACTTTAACAGAAAATGTCTGTTATTAGTAGAATTATGCCGTGTCTCGCTGGTCAATATTTTTCGCTATACTGGCCAGCAGTGAGAAGCGAATTTCATCCCTTGTGCGGTATGTGATACAAGATATGCCATTACACATTAAACGTCATTTCGATTGCGTAATCACCTGCACTAATCAAGACTGTATAAAACAAAGTGTGGATCCACAAGAAATTAAAAGCAATCTTTGCACTATTCATGTTGCAATCACTTTCTCTACAATATCACAATCACACAGTGCATCAACTGTCGCACATGTCCAGTCATTTGACGCATTCCTTTACGTCAGGCAAATGATGCCTCATGTACAATATCAAGATTGACTCACCCGTCTTCCTCCTCCTCAAAGAGATGGCCCTGATCTGCTGCAGTAACATGGCGGTCAACCTTGTTCAATTTCTGAGCGATGTTTCCAAGAACAAATCCATTCATCCCATTCTGAGAGGGCAAAATTAACATGTAATCGTGATTATAATTTTGTGTCATTTTCTTTTAAACATACTGCACCTCTTGTCTGGAATACACTTCCTCAGGAAATATGTCAAACTAGAAATTTTAATGGATTTAAAAGGAAATTCAAATGTTATTTATTACAAGTACTTAACCCCTGTATATTATTTTATGTGATAACAAGAAATTCAATTTTGTATTCCTTCTTCACTTATAACATATGTTTATTTTATATAGATAGATATTTGTTTCCTGTTGTATTGTTTTGTTATTGTCCAGTATATTATTTATTTTTAATGTATATATTTATGATTGAATGGAATCAATAAATATTGAATTATGACAACATACCTATTCCCTACATAATTATATATCGTGTCTAATATTGAAATGTAATTGTGATGTGAGATATTCACAAGCTTTGAAATAATTAATTTATTTGTCAATCTTCCGATGTGTAATATTGATGGTTTCCTTTACTGCCTACTTCTCATACCCAAATAAATCAATCAATCAATCAATCAGTCTACTGTCTCTTTAGCTTTCACAGCTACAATTATCTTGCCATGATATCCGGGCACGAAATTCATTATATCAAAACAATGTCAAATATGTTCTCATGCTTTGTTCAATTGCTTTACGAATGAGAAGAAATCAAATGAAATCAAATCAAAACAGATCTCCCCCTAATCATATCCCAAACTCCAAGTAGTCTTACATTTGCTGCATCGTGCATAGCAGAGGCGTTAAAGAAGGCGTGATGGAGGGGAACGGCGGTCTGAGAGAAGTGCTTATTATCACGGATCTCAAGCTCGCTCGGAATCTAAAGTGCAAGGATAAAAAAGAGTAATTACATTCAATTATTCCCACTTCCTCATTTGCTGACCACATTTTTTGAAGCATCACTGCGTCGGTGATTGACCCGGTATCTGACGGTGGTCGTTATCACAGATCTCACGCTCCACCGGAATCTAATGCACAAGGAATTAAAAGCACACTTACAGAATTTTGTTTTTATCCCCGTCCCACTTGATGCGTCATTGACTGACGTGGAAGGAGGCGTCGGCCTCTGTCGCGGTCTCTGACGCATCATGTAAGAATGATATCGCAGAGGTAGTAAGTAGAAATAAACAGTGTTTGTTGAAGTACTGGCGCATGCTCTGAATTACTGTTCTACATCAAATTTGGATGACATGCACCCACTCTGTAGAATAACAGAGAGCACGTATTTCTAAAAGAAGAAAAAAAAGTGATTATAATGGTGTTTCGTTACCTGGCTATGTCCCAAACGGTAGGCTGCTGAAGCGAACACGTTGCTCATGGTAGCACTTAGATTCTCATTGTAGTCTGGGACTTCCTTGCGACCAGGCTTAATAGAGAGCTTGAAATGGTCAGTCGCTACGGGACCAAAAAGGGCTGGCATGTACTCGTTGTATACAATATGCTGCCACACACCAATAACGATCCTGAAATACAATTCAATTAAAAATGGCATTTATATTACAAACAATCGTGCGTGGCAACATTAGGTGTTTAATTATGCAGAATGTAGGCCTACCATAATGGAAAATAACAAGCAATATAAGTAAAACATACCAGTAACGTGAATAGAAATGAAAAAAAAAAAAATTACAGACAAAAAAATCAAAGAAACTAATGTAATTCTTAGCAGGTAAATATTATTATAAATATACCTTAATGCAGGTACAGACAAAATGCCAAAATAATGATGGGGGGTCAAAAGGAATTTTCTTGAATGTAAAGGGTCTGCATGCACCTTATTTGAAGTAAGTGATGAGAGATTGGAAGAGGGAGTTACGTAGTACGTCCCCTATGACGTAAAGATCATTGGCGAGAAGAAGAATTGTCCATTTTTTCATGCTCGTTCAACACCATGCGTCATTTCAAGTGCGTTAATACCTCTGCTAATATAGTACACAGGTTATTCACCCAATGACTCCTGAATCCTGTTTCTCTCATAGGCTGAATAGAGTAGGCCTACTCGTCAGCTCCAGCATGCAATAGGCTAAAAAACACTATTGCATTGTTTCTGTTCTTATGTTCATAGTCTACTGTTCTAAGGTGTGTCTGATGCTAGCCTATTATTTTTGGATATACGCCGTTTTTGTGCCTTAAAATTGTTGATATGATTGTTACATTGCTTATGTCATTGCGTATGAACATATTTATACTTCAGTATTTTATTAATAAAGGAAATGAAAGAATGTTACTTTGAGTTGAATTAAACTATGTTGTTATGCAGTTTTGTAATTATTTTGAACGATGTCTTTCTGAAATGGTGCGTCAACAATTGCAGTCGTGCATCAGATAGCACTACGCCGATGGACCAACGGCCGCAATGGTCAGCACGGAGAAGGTCAGCAAGCCAACTTTATTATGTCTTATTAACTGTATTAAGCACCAGGCATAACCTCCGTTCATATAAGCCCTGTTGAAAATGTTCATGTTCAAGCATTATCTGCAACCATAGCTACTATTGAAATATCTGTCAGTATCATTAGGGATCATTTTGGACATGCGCTAATTCTGGATTAGTTCGGTCTATTCTCTACAAGATGGACAGTATATTGTAAATCCACTCTTCTTTTGAAGTGAAAATTAACGCTCAAGCTAGTGGAATCCACTCACAAGGAGTTACTACTTCATGACTGTGGGCGAATTCTGATATAGCTTTGGAATTGATTTACAACATGTAACTCCTAAATGGACTGCTAAAGTCGAGTTTAGAATTAGGTGCATTATCCCTATTCAGACTTTTAAAAGAGCGGATTTCCACAATAAGGGACTATCAAATTATTATCTACCGGGCTGGCCAGAAAATACTACAAAACGGACAACATCATACAATACAATTTAGCTAAAAAAATCAAACTATTAACATCATATTCCATGAATATGAATCCGGCGTAAAATTAAGCACCGTAACAAACTATCGCATCAACAACACCAAGAACAAAAGCAGCAGTGCTTACTTTCTTGTCTCGCTGAATAGTCGCTCCTCGTCCCAGTGACCGTTTATGAGCTGAAGCTCACTCACGATGTTGTTATGCAGACGGACGAAGACGGTGTGGAGCGCGGTGAGTGTGGGCTGTTCTGCGGCCCTCAAGTCGCCAGCGAACCCACATTTCAACGTTCCGCCCTGTGTGCCGCGGCATTCGTGGTGGTCCTCGTCCTGCTCCAGTGGCAGAAACGGGAGCAGGTTTGCATCGCCTAGCTGATGGGTTGCCAAACGTGAGGATTTAGCTAAAAGATGAGAAAAAATATATTGGTGATTTAATCATAACTCATTTCATTTGTTCATTTATTTCCATCTTCATATAAAACGATAGATCATTACAATATTATACATTAAAACAAAATACATGCAATCATACATGTTAACAGTATCAAAGAGACCAAATTTACCAGTCTAAATTGAGAAAAGGGGAACTAAAATAAGGGCAAAAGGAAAAAGGGTAGAACGAAAAAGAAAAAGAAAAAGAGATCACACATTAAAACAGAATATACACAAAGAGAATATGCAATTCTTTGTTTATACACATAACTGTAAATGAACCTTTTCCTGAGTTTGAGTTGACATTGTCACCTTTCCTATTCAACAAGCGCGTAGCTAGGATTTATTTTCGGGGGGCGGTAGAGAGCACGCAAAGCGTGCAAATCACTTAAAGAGCACACAAAGCGCTCTCCCTAGGGGGGTGGGTGGGAAGCTTTGAAAGAAGACGATTCGTTGTACCTTCTCGACTCATAATCCTTGTCTATGTTCAGTCCGCCCCTCCTGCGCATAGCTCGCAAGATTTGACGTATTATTAGAGAAAGAAGACGATTCGATGTACCTTTCTCGACTCTTAATCCTTGTCAGAATTCTGTTCCCCCCCCCCCCTCGCGCGAAGCTTTGATTTTTCATTAAATTATTATAGAAAGAAGACGATTCGTTGTATTGTTCTCGACTCTTAATCCTTAATTTGAACCTAGTTTCCCCCTTTCCGCACTTTCTTTCCATGTAAAGCGCGGAAGCTTTGACGTTTCATTAAATTATTTGAGAAAGACGACCATTTGTTGTATTGTTCTCGACTCCTTTTCCCTTTTTCTTCCTACGTCGTCTCACTTTTTTCTTCTCTTTCTCTCTCTTCTTTTTTTGGCCGGTGTTTTCTTTGGGGGGCGACTGCCCCCACCACCCCCTGGCTACGCGCCTGTTATTCAAATGCACAAAATCAATGTGAATAAAGTCACAAATTGGTTTCAGACTGAAATAAAATTGTGTATAATAGTTATGTGCGTATAATAAGAGAATTTGACCCATATTCATTCTTTCAGTCCAAACTTTTTAAAGGGATCCGGTAACTTCGTCTCAGATTCTGAATCAAAATCCTGGATTTAATTAGCTCATGCTGCAATGATAATTATAACCTTTAGGTCAGTCAGGAACCCCATGACTTTTACAAGCCGATCGCCTGTGTGATTATCAAGATATTTATGATTGGAAATCAAAACCAAATTTTGCATTTTCCTAATGTTTTTTATAATACAGTCTATTGGGAAAAACAAGTATGGTAAAACCAGTCACTCAAAGATTTTTTTTTGAGGCATTCTTGATCATTTTGAAGCACAATTTTTTTAGGGCTTCAATATTACACCATATCACAGACACTGATAACACGTAGGGCAATGCATCTCAGATTTAACATTGTCAAACGATGCCTTTAAAGGCTGCTGCTCAGTCATCCGTGGCAGCAGAGTTATGAAAAATTAAAGGTGTCATCAGTAAAAGATATCAGTGGCTCCCCCCCCCCCTCAATTTTTTTAGGGGGAATCGTCCGTCCCCCCCAAGAGCCCAAGAGTGCAGCATTTCGACGAATAAAGATGCAAAAAGATGCGGTAGCTACACTCCATCGCATAATATCTTTCACAATGAATAAGTAATTATTGTAGAAAACTATGAAAAAAGGGTATATTGCTTGTTTTTATACTATAGCTTAGATAATTAAGGAATGTAATTTGTTAAAACAGCAAAACTTAAAAAACATGGGGGTAGTCACTTTCGTCACCTTCACCCCTCTCGTTAGCTATGCTCCCTTGCGCTGGCATACTGATTGGGGGGTCAGGTGCAGTTACCCCCCCCCCAAAAAAAAAAAAAAAAATCAAACGTGGTGTATATTTTCTAATTTGATACCAATGATTTACAAATGTTGTTGAAATGGCACGATTTTTCCCTGAGCTTCTGGGGGCTCTGCCCCCTGGACCCCATTAGGGCCCTAAAGCAGACCCTTGGCCTGGATGCTCATCTGACCGTAATTGAATGCCTAAAACCCCTGAGCTTCCGGGGGCTCTGCCCCCTGGACCCCAAGAAGGGCCCTAATGCCTCCCCTGGATACTCATCTGATAATAATTTAATGCCTAAAACCCCTAAGCTTCTGGGGGCTCTGCCCCCTGGACCCCATTCCAATTAGGGACCTGCAGGCCATGAGCGTCACAAGTAAGGTAACAAAATATATCTCATCTGACCGGAATTAAATGCCTAAAACTCCTGAGCTTCCAGGGGCTCTGCCCCGGGATGCTCATCTGACCGTTATTAAATGCCTTAGTTCCTAAGCTTCAGGGGGCTCCGCCCCTTGACCCCTGCTGGGGTTTTACTCCTGGACTCCACGCCACTTTACGCTCCACATGCTTCGCTCGCTTTGCTCTACCTGATCGTTAATACTTTATTACTTTATCCCATTCCCCAACATTGGTTCTGCAGGGACTGCAGAACTGCATGTTACATGCAAGAGTAGTGGTGATGATGCATATATTTTTTTTCCTGCCCCCCCCCCCCCAACGTTTTTGCTCTTTACGCCACTGCGTCGCCGCCCCTGGTAATGAGCACAAAAAAAATTTGGGGGGCACAATCTTTGCGACCGAGCGGAGGGAGGAAGTGTCCCCCCTCCCACGGTAGGGAGCTTTTGCATTTTTCGACTTGAAAATGTGCAATCTGGGGCATACCTAAGTAGGAAATTTTGACTTGACGACATGTACTAAAATTAAAGCATGTAACTATTCTACCAACAGAGAATTTTTTTCTTCATCAACTCGGAAACATAATTATGAAAATATGTACCCCAAAATAACCCCTCCAAAATGTCCCGTGCACTGTGAATATAATGTATCATGTTACACACAAATAATTCAAGTATCCTTTTATTTAAAGTATATTTTGCTTCAGGAAAAAATAAAAAATAATCAAAGGTAGGGTAGGGATGACCAGGAATTTATGGACAGTTGGACAGTGTCTATTATTAATATTATTATTGTAATTATTATTATTATTTTTTTGCTGTCGGGGGGGGGGGACTATTTATGAAAATTACAATTAAAAATCTCCAATCTAAGCCAGAAAATGATCACTTTCGGCCCAGAAAATTGACAACATTGATAACAAATTCCTTAATTTGTCCATTCAATAGCTACCCCAACCCCACAATGTATGTATTTTCTTAAAGCTTAAAATCCATGGATCATTTTAAGATAACAATCTCAATTTTGATGAAGAAAAAAAATTAATACCCCACTGGGCCACTTAACGGTACACTTGCAATGTTACATGCTGTACCGGGTACCTATGGAACGTTCGTTCGCAAATCTGTGCATGCACAGCCCGAGTGGTGGGTAGCATGTTATCTCCTGGCAGTGCTTGTCGCAGTAGCTGCTGGAAAGGAATTTTCTACAAGTGTTACTGTTAGTGGACACTAAGGCCCATTAGTGACTATAAAAAACATATGCTCTTCCTGGCTATTTGGGAATGTGTCAGATTGCAACAGAAACACACATTTTGTTGAAAAATGAAAATCATGTGATATCACGAACATTTATAAATCACTGGTATGGAATTGAAAATAAGTCACGGTTTAATTTTATTGAGGGAGCAAGCGCCCCCCCCCCCCACCAGTATGCCAGTGCTTACCAAAGATGAAAATGAGAATGGAAAAGGGGCACTTATTACAAAGAAGAATTAGGGACAATTATCAGAGGGAATATGGCAATAATTAAGAAGGATAAGGGGGCACGTGTTGAAATAACAGGGGCACTCATTGGAGATGAATAGGGACACTTGTAATGATAAAAAGAGGCACTTGTCAAAATATAAGGGACACCTCTCAGATTTGAAAAAGAGGTAATTAGAGGTGAATGGGCACTTATCGGTGCATGGTGGCAAGGGGCACTTCTTGTTCCCTAAAAAGGGCCATTCACCGGGGATGAATAGGAGCACTTGTGGGATATGAAAGGGGCACTTTTTACAAAGAAAACATTGGCACTTGTCGTAGGAAAAGGGGCACCTATGATATTTTAATAGAGCATTTATTAGAATTGTGAATAGGGCATAGATGAGAAGGGGGGGGGGTGACATTTATCAGAAGGAAAATTGGGACTTATTAGAAAGAAAAAAGGGGGTAACTTATCAGAGGTGAGAAGGGGTACTCATCAAAGATAAAAAGGGGCACTTATCTGAAGAGTAAGAGGCACATATAAGAATATGGAATGGGCACCTACTTAAAATTTAAAAAGTGTAAAGAGGGCCACTTTAGTTTTTTGTACCTGACTAAAAATTTGGGAATTAGCCATTTTCCAACAACGCTTTAAAAAAGTATAATTTACAAAAAATTAAACCCCCCCCCCCCCTGGCAAATCATGTCATTCCAGCAAAATTTGTAAATTAATGGAATTGCATTAGAAAAAACACGTTTGACATTTATTGGAGGGAGCAACTGACCCACGTTCCCCCCCCCCCCCTCCTCCCATTAGTACACCAGTGGGTATCATAGGCAGAATTACTAGATGAAATATAATTCAAAGCCACTCAGGTTACAACTTTTAAACGGACATCTACCAAAGTGGGGTATCGATAGACGTAGAGGTATGCATTTTTGTATACGCACAGGTTAATAATTAACCCATTACCCATGTATGTAAATCGGATATTCACTACTGGGCTCTCTGGAATAATTTGTTTGGTCTAATGTCGGTCTCGTTGGCGCGATCGAGCTGGCTTTGCGACCTATTAATACGTACCGTCACGAACCTTCTCAAGCCGTTCCTCAGAAGACCCATACACCCCGGATGCGTCGATATACGCGGTAATATCGTTAAGTTGTTCACGAACTATGGGCTCCTCTAGCTCCTTAGTGGTGGACTCCTCCTCCTCGAAGCCGCTGCAGCCATGCGCCGGTACCCCAATGGTACGGGGCAAGTCCATGCAAACCATTTTGCCTTGGTACAGAACGTCTTTCTCGAAAACTGAAATGGAGCAGCAGGAGTACTTTGACTCTACAGCTGGGCATTCCTCGCATTCTCCTGCCAAAGAAACAACAATTAAGGTTCATTTGTTTAATAATCATCCTCGTATATAATTTATCGGGCTCTTCAAGATTCAGGGAGTGTTCGATCCAGATGTAAGACAGTCAATGGTTGCATCGTTGTACGTACGCGACGTGTGCCCCTGTGACAATTGCTGGGCTTTCTCACAGATAGAGTAAATTAATTTTTTTACTCTAGGCTATAACCCCGGACCCAACATTTTACTTGACCCTAATTTAGAGGCGGCGCTCCGGAGGCAGGGGGGCAGGGAGCACAGTACCCCCATACTTTTTCAAGTACACAAAAAGTGCCAATTTTTACATGTTATTAATTAATTAATTTATTTATTTGTCCTTTTTTAGTAGTGTGGCTCCATCAGTAGTTAAATAATGTTTTCCGTGGAAACCTAAGATAAAAACAAAATTTACAACATATACAATCCAATTCGAGAAAAACTGAATTTAGTTACAACATTTTCGAACAAAAGAAAGAAACAAAAAATAACACAATAGACCAGTTCAATGATTAAGATTATCATGACGCCAAAGGAAAAAACCTGGAAGAAGAATTTGATTGCGCATTTTTTTTTTAATTAGGTAAACTATTCCAAAGAGCCGAACCATCAAATGAAAAACTTTGTTTTCCCATCTGGGTTTTATTTTTGGTAAAATTAATCCTGCGTTTTGTGCACCTTTAACATTGTAAGGAGTGCCCCTTTTTACATAGGAAAAGTGCCCCTTTTACTTTGACAAGTGCCCCTATTAATTTTTTAAGTGCCCCTTCCCCTTTCCACCTCTGATAAATGCCCCTTTTATTTTGACACGTACCCCTTTTCCTTTGACAAGTTCCCATTTCCTTTGCAATAAGTGTCGAATTTCGATTCAGGCGCGTAGCCAGGGGGGGGGGGGCGAAGGGGGCGGTCTCCCCCCCCCCCCCCCCAAACGCCGGCCAAAAAAAAAAAAAAAAAAAGAGAGAGAAAGAATAAGGGAAGAGGAAGTGGGAAGAAAAGGGATTAAGAGTCGAGAACGGTACAACGAATCGTCTTCTTTCGATCCCCGGTTTCGATCTCTAATAATTTAATAAAACGTCAAGGCTTCCGCGCTTCGCGCGGGAGGGGGGCAAACTGAATTCAGACAATGATTAAAAGTCGAGAATAGTACAATGAATCGTCTTCTTTAATAATTTAATGAAACGTCAGAGCTTCCGCGCTACGCGCGGAGGAAGGGGAACTTTATTCCAACAAGGATTAAGAGTCGAGAACGGTACAACGAATTGTCTTCTAATAATTTAATGAAACGTCAATAGAAACTGAATTTAGACAAGGATTAAGAGTGGAGAACAGTACAACGAATCCCCTTTTTTCTCTAGTAATCTAATGAAATGTAAAAACTCCCCCCTCCCTGCACCTACCCCCCTAGGGAGCGCGCTCTGTAAGTGATTCGCACGCTTCGCGTGCTCACTACCGCCCCCCTAAAATAAAATCTTGGCTACGCGCTTGTTTCCATTCGTGCCTTTTTAAAATCTTTAGTAAGTTCCCCTTTTCGGATACGAGAAGCGCCCCTTTTCACTTTTGATAAGCGCCCCCTTCACCTCTGATAATTGCCCTATTCAAGTCTGAGAGGTTCCCCTTTTGCTTTGTAACAAGTGCCCCTTCCCCTTTTTAACTCGGATAAGTTTACCATATATTTTCACATGTGCCACCTTTCCTTTTTTATGTAGTGCCCCTTTTCCTTATGCTAAGTGCCCCATTTAAAAACTTGCCCGTTTTCCTTCTCATAATAATGCCCCTTTTCATTTATGAAAATAGTTCCTTTTCATTCTCATAAGGGCCCCTTTTCATCTCTTGTAAATGACCCTATTCAATTCTGAGAGATACTCATTTGACTTTGACAAGTGCCCCTTCCCCTCCTGATAAGTGCTCTTTTCATCTCTTATAAATGCCCCTTTTATTTTGACACGTCCCCCTTTTCCTTCCTATTAAATGTTCGTTTTTCTTCTTATAAGAGCCACTTTCCCCTTCTCATAAAATCCCCCTTTCACCTCCGATAAATGCCCCTATTAAAATCTGATTGGTGCCCCTTTTCTCTTACCAAAATAATGCACATTTCCCTTTATCATTAGTGCCTCTTTTTCATTCTCATAAGCGCCTCTTTTCATGTATGGTCAGTGCCTCTTTTCAGATGGGATAAGTGCCCCTTTTCACCTCTGATAATTACCCTTTTAACAATGATATGTACCCCTTTTTCCTTTTTCATAAGGAACCTATCCCTTTTTTAAATAAATGCCCCTTGTCACTTCTTATAAATGCCCCTATCAAACTCTGATGGGTGCCTCTTTTCCGTCGACAAATGCCCATTTCCTATTCTCATAAAAATCCCTTTTCATCCCAGGGGCGTGCCTTTTTTTTAGGTGTAAGAAGTGCCCCTTTTTCACCTCTGATAATAAGCCTTTCTTATTACACGTGCTCCTTTTCTTTTCTAATAAGTGTCTTAACCCTTTCGATAAGTGTCCCCTTTTCCTCTCATCATTAAACGTGCCCCTAATTTCAAGCAAGTAAGAGCGATTTCCCCCAAAACTCGCTCGCTATGCTCGCTCGTAGTCATAGATGTTATAATTATGTAACTTATCAAAGGTCTTTTCAGTCTTTTCAGTCTTTTGAGGCTCGCTTTGCTCTCTCACAATTGAATTTTCAGACAATAACACCCAACTGCAAAGTATGATGCAGTATCTTATGATGTATAAAGAAAAACAAATATTGAAATCATCCCTGATAATGTAATCACAATATAGGGGTATATACCAATGTCTAAAAAACTGTATATTTTCGATTTGAGATGTTCCTTTGAAGTTGCCCTCTTTCCAAAAAAATGCCCTTTTTTGTTGGTGCCCCCCCCCCAACACTTTGGAAGTCGCTCCGCCGCCTCGGCCGTAATTACATATGTTAAAGACCTTATCCGATGAAAATATTTATTCATATCCGAGTCAATGGAGAGCTAAGTAAACGTAGAATACAAACCCAATAAACAGAACACTAAAAATTAACCTCTTTTGGGAGTGTATTTTAAGTGATTTTAAAGTATAGTGCCTTTTGAACTAGATTTAAACGTTATCGACACGTGCCTTCATTTAAACAAAAAAGGTACTCCTGTTCACGTTTTCATCTAACCTAAAAACCACCAGTTTATCACGCGACTGGAGTAACGTGATTCCACTTACCTCTGTAAATCAAGTGTTCATGACCAAATAACCACTTGACCAAGCAACGAGTTTTTTGTCAGTTAACCGATGGTGGCGATAAATACGTAATTATTTGGTATTTTAAGCACCTTTATTGATTGGTTTCACAGGTTATCCAAGGTTGATGGTAATACTCACGTTACTTTCACCGGCTAATCGTCTTATTGTTCTGTCAGTAAATCTCTGGTTATATTCAACTAGTAATTCTGAGGTGTCTTACACACCTCTTTAAAAGGTTTTAAAGTTACCATAAATTTCTTGGTTATGATCACGTGGCTCAAGCTGATTACTAATCTAAGCTGTGAAAACGTGATATGTAGGTGTGAAAATTAGTAATTATTAAGTGTTTTAAAACACCTTTTTAAATGGTAGTCAAAGTTGCCATAAGTTCCGCGGTGATGATCTCGTGACTCAAACGGATTATTGTTCTAAGCTGGTCATACGTGACTTTTAGGTCTGAAAAATTAGTCATTATTAGGTGTCTTAAAACACCTATTTAAATGGTTTCAAAGTTACCATAACTTTCTTGGTGGTGATCACGTAGTTAAAACTGATTACTAATCTAAGCTGTGAATCCGTGATATTTAGGTGTGAACAATTAGTAATTATTAGGTGTCTTAAAACACCTATTTAAATGGAAGTCAAAGTTGCCAGCAGTTCCGCGGTGATGATCTCGTGACTCAAACGGATTATTAATCTAAGCTGGGCATACGTGACTTTTAGGTGTGAAAAATTAGTCATGATTAGGTGTCTTAAAACACCTATTTAAATCGTAGTCAAAGTTGCCAGCAGTTCCGCGGTGATGATCGCGTGACTCAAATGGATTTTTAATATAAGCTGGGTATTCCGTGTTTTCCATGTGTGAAAATGAGTTATTCTTGGGTGTCTTGATGGTTTCACAGTTACCATTTAAGTTCCGTGGTGATAATCCCGTGACTGTTGGCATATTTCTATGTTCACCAGTTGATAACTGACTGTTGGCATATTTTCATTGCACCAGTTGGTAACTGGAGTGTGCATATTTCCAGTTGCACCAGTTGATGACTGAGCGTTGGCATATTTCGAGTTGACCCAGCTGACACCAATTCATTTGCATATTGAATATGGGGTGCGTGCAGATCTATGTTTTTTAAACAATTTATCTGAATTTACAGCATATTTCTTAATTACTGATGATTTAGTTATATGCAGTTCATTCCGAAAATACTACAAATATAAATAACCAGTTATTAGGACATTTCGCTACTTCGTATAAATGACATTTAGTTAAACATGAATAAGGGAAACATTAACTGTGAACTAAAATAATTTCAATAAAGTACAAGTATACGAATTTTTTTCGATTAATTCAATTATGTAAGTCTACTTATTACCAATGCCCTTACATTGGAAATACAGACGTACCAGTATTGAAGTATTGTTGCTGTTCAACTGGTTGGAAGTTTTACCAAATGGTTCTAATGGCTCAGCTAGACCAGTTGAATTATAACTGGCCTGGATCAACTGGATCATTTAGCCCATCTCAATTTCCAGGGTTACCAGTTGGCATTAAATGGTCCATCAACTGGACCAGTTGCAACTAGCTTTCTCTTCTGGGATGTTTGCACCCACCCCCCCCCCCCCCCCCCACCCAACCCCCTCTGATCCCAAACTGCTTCCGGCGCGCCTGGACGTAATTATGGAAGATCCAAGACACGATGTTCAGAAACGGGATGAGAACGTCATTATTTTGGTTCATTTATTGTGTAACATTTGCGTAATTATTGGGTTGAACGCGGGTTACAGTAACATACTTCCTCTTCGACGTAAATTTCACGTGAATGAAGAACATGATTCATCTCAAGTCAGCCTCGTGATATTCACGTGAATTTTACGCAGATATTTTGACTAAAACTA